TCCAGTTCTGGGCTCCCCAGTTCAAGAAGGACAGGGATCTGCTGGAGAGGGTCCAGCAAAGGGCTATGAAGATGATTAGGGGAATGGAACATCTCTCTTATGAGGAAAGGCTGAGCCCTGGGTCTGTTTAGCCTGGAGAAGACAGAGAGGGGATCTCACCAATGCTGATCAGTATCTAAAGGGCGGGTGTCAAGAGGATGGGGCCAGACTCTTTTCAGTGGTGCCCAGTGACAGGACAAAGTGCAACAGGCACAAACTGGAACACAAGGAAATTCCATCTCAACATAAGCAAAAACTTCTTTGAGGGGGGCAGAGCACTGAAAGAGGCTGCCCAAAGAGGTTGTGGAGTCTCCTTCTCTGGAGACATTCAAAACCCATCTGGACGCCGTCCTGTGCAACCTGCTGTAGGTGACCCTGCTTTGGCAGAGGGGTTGGACTAGATGATCTCCCAAGGTCCGTTCCAGACTCTACCATTCTGTGATTCTGTGGTTAACCATGCCTCCACTAATGAAGACAAATTGGATCAGGTTTTTTTCTGCTGATATTAGGGTTAGGCAGGTAGGAGAACTGAAGCAACTTCAGTAAAGCCATTCTTTATTATCTGAAGTAACCTGTGCACTAAGCCTTTTAATTGTTTAGTTTACTCATCCTGTTAATTTTGTTTCCTTCTGTCTCTGCTTTATTTTTCTCAGACTACGAAAGCTGAGGAAGGAAAAATAATGAGAAGAGCACTCAAAAATTATGAGTAATGTTCTGGTCAACATTTTACAAATAATTCTATTTTACCCACATTTTTTGCCCTTTTTGTCTATTGTAAAATGGTCTCAACGGGTTTGAAACATACAAAATATTAGTATAGATTCACTTCGATCACCACTGAAATAGATTACCTATTGGACAGCACTTGAATACTAGAAACAACCAAGTGCAGGCAGGATTGTACTGGTAGCTGTAATTGACAGTTATATTATAAGTTGTTATTTGAACAGAGAGCTGTTAGCTACAGTGACAGTAAACCGAAAAAGAAAATCTTCCTCTTTTTAATTTACCATTTAGATCAGCTAAAGCAGCAGGGTGAGTACTGCCAGGAAAAAGAAGGGCAGTTTGCTGGGCGCGGGCTGCTGGCTCTGCTGAGCAGGGAGAGGGGTGTTGCAGCTGAGGTGAGGGGGGAGCCCCTGCGTGGGACTCCGGCCCTGGGTCTCCGTTTTGTTTCCCCTTTCTTGTCGTGGCCGGGAGGGGTTGGAGGAAAGCTGGGGAGCTGTAAGGTGGTGGTTTCCCGGGTGGGTGAGGGCTGGAGCTGTCTGTGGGTGACCAAAGGGGCCTTGTGTGCATTCGGTGAGGGGGAGAAGGGCGACCATGGTGAGGTGTGTGGTTACATGGAACAGGTAGTGCTGGCTGTGTGAAGTGACTGGCAGGAAGGTTAGAACACAGCAGATGAAGTGCTAATTTCTGTGGTGCCCTGCGTTGTTGTTATTCCTGGTGCCAGAAGAACAGAGCTGCTGTTATCGCTGAAAGAAATGAAGCACCCTGTGGGGTAGTGGGGCTGCTGGGTCGCTGGAAGGACTAGATAAGGATTACTTGAAGCAAGCAAGCATCAGTGGGGACATGAATCAGAGCAGCCTGTGGAAGCTCCTCTTGACGCTCAGGAGGTACCAAGAGGCAGACAGGGAGATAAGCACAGGCTCCAGGCCAGAGCGGGAAGAAGACACCTTCCATGGCTCTCTGAGCCCCAGCCTGCACTATGAAGCAAATGGAAGCGAAGCAGTATGCGCCAAATTTGGCTTACTGTTCTACGAAGTCATAGATTGTGTTTCACTGAAGGTGTATTCAAAAGGGTGGGGTTTTTCTTTGAGGGGTGAATACAGTTTGAAAGTACAGAATGCATTTGCCATGCGAGATTTCTAAGATGTTAGAGCTCGATACAAGTTTGTGGGAGTATTTGGAGGCAGAGGGCGCCAGTAAAATTTAATCTGCGTTGTGTTTGGTAGTTAATGAGCTTGAAAAGCTTGCTTATTAATCATATCTACTGTATGTTTTCAAAGTGTATGTGTATACCTATATAGGAAATAATTATTTTCTTAGCCATTAATGGTTTATCTTCCTGAATGCCAGTGCTGTAGGCTATATCAGTCCAAAATGCAAATACCTGTGCAGGTGCTTCTTCAGACATTTTAATTTGCAGTTCAATGAACCTAAGATTTCTTGTGCTACAGAAGTGATCAGATCTTTGGTCTTTGAATTTTTTAATATTTGAGGTTGGTGCTGATATGCTATTCGGAACGAGAGATTGAAAGGGAAAAGAAAAAAACAATTCTAGAGGTAATTAATTTTTAAGTGATCCCAAAACAGTAAGTTTCAAAACACATTTAACTCCAGTGAAAAATGTGAATAGCCCTGGCAGATTTGGCTCTGTTAACAGAGGAGATGCACAGTTTTATGTGCCATGACTGCAAGCAGGTGCTGTATAAAATGGGACTAATGGTGGTGCTGTAGCACTTCTGCTGTCCCTGCTAAAACTGTGTCTAGTGAAATAGAAATATTTACGGATAACAGGGGCTAAGGGGTAGTAGAGGAAGTGAGAAACTGTTAGCCATAAATTGGCAGTCATGAATTGCACTGCTAATAAAAGGTAAATCTAGTAATAGAAAACACGTGGTTGTCATGTTTAAAGGCAAAGAGGAAAGTTTTAGGTATGTGTGGAAAGAATAATAAATCAATACTACAGATGTGTATGTGGGTTAGTGTTGGTGTTGTCAAATATTTCAGTTCCATACTTGGGAAGAATATTTGTCTTGGCACTTTTTAATACGAAATACTTTCTGATCTGATAGTAACCGGAGAAGATGCAGAACATTGATTGTTCATGTCAGAAGCTTCTCAATGTGTGAGGTTTGATAGCCACCCCCGAGAGTTTTCAGAGAATGGACCAAAGAATGAACAGAACTAATGAT